GAGATTTCAAACTACCTAGAAAAGTGATACATATAACTTAAAGATAGAAATCAAAGAATAAACATATCACTCTGGTTTAGAGCCTGCACCTTAAGACTTCGAACCTGCCACAATATCCTATAAAGGGTGAGAATTATCTCAATAAGTTATAGGATATTTTAACCCCTTCTTAAAAGACTTACCAATAATATAATGAAAGAAATCACATGATACCAATCTACATACAAGAATAGAGTGTTGTGCAAAAAATAATCAACTAAAATTAACAGCGTTGCAATTGAAGTAAACATGATACACATATTTGGTTATTTTATGACTTGAGAACTCTCTTCCCACCTTATACTATATGTGTAATTAGTTGACCTATATGTATATTTGAGCTCAAAATAATGTGAGGCATCCCCCATACTATCAACTATCATATCCTCTATCTCATAGAATATGGCACATGTGGATTAATCATTGAACAAGATGTAATGCATATATGTTCTCATTATAAGAATCTTTAAGTCATACATGAGTAAAATATGAAATATGCAGCAGTTTCTTGTTCTGAAGGTTAATAATACATGTCTAAATTCATATCATAATTGTTGGTCCCAGATGAACTCAAGAGGGGGGTGAATTGAGTTTTATAAAAATAATTCGCTAATTAAAATTGACTCAAAGCAATAAATCAAGATAAGGATAGAGAGATATTAACACAATAGTTTTTACGTGAAAAACCCAAAAGGGAAGAAAAACCACAGGACCTAAAATTGAATACTGAAATTCGACAGACAACTCCACTATGAAACTTGTGTACAAAGAGTTCTCTAGTATCCTAATTTCCTAGTCTACACCTTACACAAATTCCCAACTGGTATCTTAGTCTCCCAGTACGAAATCCTAACCCTTTAGAATTCTGAAACCCTATCACACAAGGGTTCTTAAGCTACTCTCAATTTCCAAGAAAAAGAGACATGCTAGTATCCTAATTTCCCAGCACAGGAACTGGTATCCAAGTTTCCCAGTACAGACCTTCAAAAAGGTCAAGAAGAAAATTACAATTAAAGAATTTACCTCAGTGCTTCTTTTCCTCAAGCATATAGGTAATATGAATTCCTATGGAGAAATATTCACTTTGCCAAAGGATGAATATATGAATGAATGTTCTTGAGAAAGCTTTTCAATTGATGCACAAGAAAGAATCCTAATCTTGAAAGTCTAATTCTCTCTTTTCTTTCTTGTATATTCTTCACTCTTCTCTCTCTTGTATTTTCTCCACACTGAAATAATATGCAATGAGCCTTATTCATAATAATAACATCTTAATCTATTATGCAATGCAATCCTAATCAAATCTTTGGCAAAAAATATTTTATTTCTCTTACATGAAATCTAAAAAGATAAAATCTATCCTAATCTTTACTTGATTCTATGCTTTTCTATTTCTTCATGATATCTTCCATATCTTCTTCAATCTTCATGCAATCTTCAATTATCTTGAATACTAATTCAAATCAGAATAAATATTATTCTGAAATCTCAAACAATCAGCTCATTAGTAATTTCAAGACAATAAAATATTATCAATTAAATTAATATTAAATTGATTGTAATCATCAAAACATATTTTAAATTAATTAAACAATTGGGGTATAACAAATATCCAACAATAATAATTCAAAGGAGGTAGTTTTGGTTTTTTGCTGGTAGATTTCCAAATATTCTAGGTAGAGTATCTGAATATCTGGCATTACATATCCGGATATATGCCCGACATATTTCTCGATATTCTCCTGCGATATCCAAATACCTGGAGTCAGACATAGTAAGTTTCAACCCAAAACATAAACCAAGGTTGGACCACTTAAATTTGTTGTCCCTATCAAATAAGTTTTATATAAGATAGCACCCAAGTGTTTTTGAAAATCAACAAGTAGGAAAATAGCTTTATTGTCTTTTAATCCAAGGAAATTATAGAACTTATATGCATGTAATTGCACCATCATTATTTCTAATGTAGAAAATTATCAATAAGTGAATTACATACAACCTTTCCCAAAATTGATTTTTAAAGTATTGAAAGAAATGGAAGAACCCATATAACTTACCTCTTTTGGAGTTTCTAAAGTAGATGACTTGAATTGGACCTTTACTTCTTGAGAGTTGGTGCCTTTTTAAAGTGTGGGGTTTCCTCTTGTTGCTTCCCCTTCTTGCTCCAAATGCCTTCTTGCTCCTTCAATCCCACAAGTCACTAAGTTAGAGGAAATAGAACCTATGAGTGTCTTGACATTTCTTCGACCTTTGGTTTTGAAGGTGTTTATGTGGAGGGAGATGATGTGAAATGATAAGGAGTTCGTTCACCGAGGTTTGCTCTGGTTAGAAGAGGAAGAGATTGAGAGGAAATTCTATTTTATGAGTAAAATTCAAGGAGAAGCACCTGATAGTGGTTATTTGCATGAGTTGTGGTTGTAGAGTGACAAAGTGAATGGGGTGTTGTATGAGAGAAAATGTCTGATGATAGTTTATCTTTTTTTTTGTATTATTAAGTTTTTTTTTAAAGTTCTATTTGGAATTTGCTTGGCATCTTGGTCTCACTAAGTTACAATTGAGAGTGATTTCTCTCAAGCTATCAACTTGCTTAAAATTGTTAGTAATGTTGCTCGAAAATTACCCTTGATAATTAGAATTTGATTGTGGCTTGTTAAGGATTGAAGGATTGGTTTTACCTTTGCAAAGAGTTAAAAGAATAGATGTGCTAATTGGTTTACTGAAAACATTTTAGCAAGCCCTCAAGTCAATACTTATTTATTATCTCCCTGCTAAGAAATCCATTTGCTAATGTTGTCTGATTTGGGTTTTTTTCTATTGGAAATCTGATGCAGACTGTTAAGGCTGTTTTCGTTTAGTTTTCTGGTTTTCCACTTCTGGTGTTTTTCTTTTTCTTTTTTATTTATTTTTCTAGGGTTATGCTCTTCTGATTAGGGGTGTGCATGGAGCGGTTCATAACCGGTTTTGACAAAATCCGAACCAAACCAATTTTAAGCGGTTTGGTTTTCAAACCGAACCAGATTTCTTTTTTTAAAACCGATTTTTGATTTTTCAAACCGATTTATGGTTCATAATCAATTTTAATTTAAAACCGATTTAAAACTGGTTTTAATTGAAAACCGGTTTTAAATCAATAGCGGTTATGAACTATAAACCGGTTATAGGTAGTTGGCCAAATTTTTTTTTTTGCAAGAATCTTCATTATTTAGTTCTTTTGGACATTTTGAATACCTCTCATTATAAGTTTTCCCCCAATCAAGTTAGGAACTTGGATAAATACCTTGTCACAATTACGATTAAAGACAAAAATAAAAAAGAGAGACTATAAACAAGCACAAAAACAATACGACAAAATCAGTATTCACGGGAAAGCAAAAACTGTAAGAGGAATTTCATCAGTAAACATGTTAGCCAAAACAGATTTAGTTATTAGTTATTGTAGAGCTGTTTGGTTATGGATAATTATGGATAACCATGGATAATCCATTATTTTTATGGTTTCGTAAATAATCAGTTTATAAAATAAGATGTGATTTCATATGAAAGCGGTTTTTAAAAATAATCAATTTTTAAAATGTGGAGCAGTTTGATTATGGATTAGTTTGGTTCTTTTGGACATTTTGAACACCCCTAGTTCTGATGCACCAAATAAAAAAGAGAATTGATCCCTATATTTATTTGAAGTCTTCCTCTTTAGGTGAAAGCAGGATTTTATGTTAGTTTCCTACTACACAACACATCAACCTGCAATGAAATGTAATTTTTGTTTTGAATAAGCATGGTAAAAAATTGAACCAATTTGTTTATAACATGTTTGACAAATGGTCAAGACTTGGGGACATGCTAATCCTCTTTTTAAAGGACGTGTTTCGTCACCAGTTTTTTTTATAGTAAAAGCTAATTACTCTATCCAAACAAAGAAAAGACAAAACAAAAATAAAATACATTTGAATAGTATTTTTTATATTAAATTATTGAAAGTTATGATCTCAGATTGTCGCGGTTTAACGTGATGATCATGGTTCAATTGACGCCATACTCAAATTCTTGTCATTGCTAATTACCATAAGCACGTCCCCAAATTAAAATAAATTGATCTACTTATATTCTATAACTCATATAACTAAATAACTAGAGACATTAAATATAAGTGTGATGAACGATTAAAATTGAAAATATAATTTATATTGATGTAAAATAATTATATATATATATAGAGAGAGAGAGAAAGAGAGAGAGGAAGAGGGGGAGAGGGAGATCAACTTACACTGACGTAAGAATAAATTTTTTTACACTTAATCTATATAATTGATTTGCATTTATCTAACAATTGAAATATTTGCATGAATATTAGAATAGTGCTACTAGTAATTTAAGTTCTATAAGAATAAAAAATCAAATATATATGACCCACTTGAATTCAAATAAAACTTCAATGGCAATGCAAATGAAGTAACTTTAGTTATGCATTTTCTAAAAAAAATAATTCATTGAAAAATATTGTTATACTATCACTACAACAAAAACGGAACTTAAAGGCGGTTTATTTTAGTGTTGAAGTCGGTTTACACCGCCTCCAAAAATTTCTATGGCTCTTTGAAAACCGACATTGGAGTTGGTGCCGTTGAATAATTCAGAGTCGGTTTTGTGAAACCGACAAAATAACCGACGTTGAAACACAATCGACGTTGTATAACCGACGTTGAAACACAATCGACGTTGTATCTATACAGTCGCCATATTTGCTACTGTTAATTTATATTGTAGTTATTCAAATATTTAATAAATTTATAATATTTACAGCATCGGTTTTAAATGGCAGTGAACTTATAGGTCAAGCTTTTGAAAAATAAAATTATAACCTAATTTTTAAATAGGCTTATATTTTAAACATTTACTAAATCATTGAAAGATGAAATAGGAAGAGTGTATGAAGATGAAATAAGATAAGATATTTTTGCCATTGAAACTTAGAAGCTTTTCCCTAAACATATGACATTTATTGCGCTAATGATTATTTAATGTCATCATCAACCATTGCTCACAGTTTCGCCTATAAATACAACGATAATATGAGATTGAACTCAATGTAATCTGGACATTTCTAAGACACGGTCTTCACTCTTCACAGGGGAGGATGGTGTGGATGACCATGCTTGAGGTTAGACCCTTGGTCATTATAGTCATTGTTAATATGCATATTCTGGGATTCTGCAAAAGGAACACCCAAATTACACCACTCTTCTATTACCTTATTCAATTATTTCTAGATCATATGTTACAATTGTTTTGTTTAAAAAAAAATATAACAAAAAAAAAATAGAGGAAAAAGAATAATGTTCAAAGAGTGCCTTTAGATATAATATATATAAATACTTAATAATAAATAAAGGCAGTTTGAGTGAAAGACTAAGATATATTAAAACAATTATGGGATTTGAAATATGTTTAGAATGTATAAATACTAATAATGAAAGTTATGTCTAAATATATATGAAAATCATGGAATTTAACTATAAATATAAAAAAGATAAAATAAAAGCTCACCTATAGGTGGACGAGGGTGGTGGGGATTATGTTTAGGATTAGGACCTGTTTAAAGATGAAATTATAAAATATATAGAATAATAATAAGAAATTATGTACACTTTAAAGATTGAATGAATTAATTATAGATCACCAGTTCATGATGGACCAAATATAGTAATTCAAACATACCACAAAAAACATACATGTATTGCCCAGAAGTACTATACTAATTCAAACCTAGCACTCAACATGCTTCTAAGACCTCAAGTATTATGTGAGTTTAAACTAAACAATTTTCTATTTCAATCAGATTATCTATTTTGTTAAGGAAGAACCAAATGAATGCATCACCTTCGATCTCGGCCATCATCAGTAATGTTTATCTGGGTTGCTATGTCAACATCAACCTGAAAGATGTTACAAAATATAAACAAGGTTGTGTGCTAACATCAAAGCTTCCTCAATATATTCTCTACTCCTCTGCCTCGAGTATGGCTTAAGAGGAGAAAAGAGTCATTGTTCCCTGATACCAATTAGTACTCAAAGAAAAAAAGTATACAATTTTTTTTTTGTTATAGGATAAACCTCTTGCTATTATAGTTCTCACCTTTTCTTGGCACCCAAATTAAAAAGCCAGTTAGACAAAATTTTGGGGAAGATCATTTAAATTTTTTGTTTTCTCAAGCCTTTGACACAACAGTTTAAAATTGACTGATATTAGTCAAACAAATAGGGATAATGCAATTGTCGATATTAAACAGGATAGATATGAATTTAAATACAAATTAAAGGACTACCAGAACACACCTGCAACTCTCTAATCAAGTTTTTCCATTTTCTACCACTGGCCTCCTGTTACCCTTCAACCTTGCAAACCTCATTTCCTTAAAAAATTTCTCTCACTTTTGCAACCAAGCCCCCATTCTCTGTAAATGGTACTCAGCTCTCTTTTAAACACAGTATAGCTTGGAACTTTACAAATAAAAGAGGGGGAAATTTCACTTCATATTACTTATCCCAAGTCTCCAACCCATCTCCGCTTAACACTCTTTTTTCTATGGTTATGGTAGATGACAGACATGATGAACAATATATGCATTAAAATTGCCACAAAGGAGAAACCAAGCATGCTTAAGTCAGTGCATGTTAAGCAACACAAATCACAAAGTAGACATCTAACATCTTGGGTTTACATCACATTCATATATATATATATATATATATATATATATATATATATATATATATATATTTCACAAAACTTGTCTGCATGTTACCAGAAAGAATGAAATGTTAATGTTTTACAACTGAAACAGAAAAGCATAGACATTCATCACCTGCTCTTTTGGAGGTAAAAGTCCAAATGCAGCTCCTATTGCTAACCAGGAACTTGATTCCTAAATCACCAATTTAAAAACTCTAATTAGCTGAGAACTGCATGTTGGCATCTAACCAAATCATGTTTCAATGAAACAGAAAGGGATAAACTTATAGAGGATACTCAAATTCACCAAGTTTACTTCATAAGTTTCTTTTATATCAACAGGTCAAGTGAATTAATTTTGTTTTTCATAACAATCTCTCCTCCCTAACAGCCATACTCGAAGATAGAAAGGATATTCATAAAATGTAGCTTACCTTTCAATTTATGGTTAACCAAATGGCTTCCCGATAAGAAAGAATTAATAAAAAATGATCTTGCCATTTCATCAAATAGTTTGCGAGCATAGCAAGTAAATTTCCATACCCAATTAAAAAGGACCCTTAACTCATCCCTCTAGACATGCACCAATCAAGTAATCTAGTATTTCAAACATTTAATCCAACAGATGATGGACAAGATAAAAAATCCTCAAAGCAATCTCAAGACATGTTAAGGACCCTTAAAGTCCAAGATGGTAGATCAGGTTTAAGGACCCTTAACTTCAAAAATCCAAGAGAATTTTCACTGAAGAAGTAAAGGCATGAATTACCCATACAAAATCAACCAAATAAAACCTTTAAGAATTAAAATTCTGATGAAACATTTGTGCCTTCATTCTTCAGTTTTCCCTCCCAAATAAAACCCACATTCAAGCCCATGAAACTAATAGACAAATAACAATGGTGGAAAAAGTAAGCATTTCTTCAAGTTTGATAATAATAACACGTATAGGATTTTGAAAACTAAACTTACTAAAGAGATCTAAAATCCTTTGAAAGAAATAAATTATCAACTGGAAATGCAACAGAGAAAAGAACAAAGAAAAATCAAACGAAAAAAATTAAAAATCTCAGATCCCTATGATTTTTAGGAAAAATAAGATTAAAACGTGCAATATATGAAATGTAAATGAAGCTAAACAGTAGTTAAGCACCAGAAGATGTGAATCCTGGTCGGTGATTTCAGCTTCCTTGACTTTCTGTGCAACCGCCTGAAAGAATGAAATGGAAAATTGAGTAGCCATCGCAGAGAAAGTAAGAAGAGGAAGAAAGAGGAATAGAAGTGAAGTGAAAAGAAGCACTATTACAATATATTCCATTTTGTGTTTTTTATTTGCTTTTCATTCTTTCTTATTTGATTCCTTTAGTTGGTTGCCACGTCATTAGGATAGTTATAACAGAATTGTATATGTGAGGATATGTGGCATGTGTGCAGACCCTGACCTTTTTAATTCAGTATTCCTTTTGTATAGAACAGAATCACAGAATGAAATATACAGGTTTTTCGTTTTCTTCATTCTCTCTATGGGAAATGCATGGTTGTTACTTCTAATAAGCACAAATCACAATGGTGCAATTTTTATCTAAAAAATATGTAATTGAGAGTGAGATACATACAAAGGTCTAATGCAAATGCAAATGAGAAAATGGAAAGGAAAAAAATGAGAAAAGGAGTAATGTAATAAAGATTTTAAAGTTCGCAGCTTTTCTTCTAACAGCCGGTGAACCCCGAATTTCCTGTAGTGTATTTTCTAATTATAGTATAATATAAGTAACAAAATTAACTAAATAATTAACTACTGAGAAATCGATGTCTTTTAATAATAAAACAGCACTTAATAATCGTATAATAAAATTTTAAAACAACAAGTGAATCAAAATTAATATATTTTAAGGGTAGAGTTGTAGAATGTAGATATACATTGAAGAGACTGCATTAGTTTGTAGTTGTATATAATAATGTTACTGCTCGTGGGAAATCGAAAAACAGAAGCAAAGAAAATTTAATAAGGCCAAGGCCAGATTGAGTCTTAGATAGAGCTAGCCAAGTTTTGAAAGTGGGCTAGAACTAAACTCAGGCTTGGGTCCGTAAGCCTAACGATATTAGTACCTTATTGACTTAATATATTTTGCGAGAAAAACTTCTTTGGATCCATTTGGAAAGAGAAATTTTAAGGTACATTTATAGTAATACTTTTAATGTCTGAAATTTGATTTAAAATTTATTAAAATTTATTTAAAATTTAATCCAATAACTTGTAGCGGTTTTGGTCAATGTATTATGTTTTTATTAAATTAAGTACAATGCTTTCAGAATATATACTAATTTCTCACTTGGAAGTGAAGTGTAGTTGCTCTGAGTTACTAGATAACATGTTGTCATCAAAGGTGTTCCCTAAGTTAAAGATCCAGCAGAGAAATTTAAGGAGACACAAAGAGATAGCATAAATTAACTTCTGATCGATGATAAAGGTTAGCAATTTTTGGTATAGATTTTTAAGGTGTGACTGTGTTAATTCTTTTGTTTTCGGAAATTTGATTTGTGCGACTCAAGTCAATTTAGCTATGCTAAAATTTCCTCAAGTCGGATGCTATAAAACGCCTCGGGGTATTTATGCTCGGGGTTCATAATTGATCGTTCTCAATGAAAATATAAATTTAGCATTTTGAAATAAGGTGGGACCTGTTTTAAAGTTTACCTAGGTGCAAGGGCTGAAATGCTAGCTCGAGCTTATTACAACAAAATCTAGGTGTTTATGTTTGCAAATGAAGCAAATCCAGGTGTGCATATATCGTAACTTTTAATATTCTCTCCCTCTCATTTTTAATTTTCATTAAAAAAGTTTAGAGTAAGTTGAGAAGTGAATAATTCAAAATTGTTGGAATGATGAAACCCAAAAATAAAAAAAATAAAAAAAATCTACTGGTGCATAGAAAAAAGATGATATGTAGGTGTTAATGACCTATGATGCACGGACACGGGACACGACACGACACGCCGACACGTTAATTCTAAAAAATGTCATATTTGAACACGTTGAGACACGTTTTGATATTAAATAAAAATTTTAATATATATAATATAATTTATATTTAATACATATAAGAGTCCATAATAAGTCATATAATCAATCAATTATTAAATTTCATAACATAAATATAAATATAGATAATTATTCGTACTTTGTTAATTTTTCATGTCAAATTTCATAACAAAAAAAAATTAATTTATAAATTATTTCTTTTATATTAAGTTAACAAAATAAAATTAAGATTTAAAAAAAAACGTATCCGAATGTTGACCGCGTGTCAGAAAAATGTGTCAGAACATGTCGGAATGTGTCGGAGAATTAACCGCGTGTCCTCAAATGTTGACCTCGTGTCGAACGCGTGTCCTGAGTAAATTTTTTAAAAAACAACGTGTCTGTGCTTATTAGTCAATGACCATAAAAGGGTGGAAAAAATAAAAAAAAGTTGTCTATTATTTTTTCACCAAATTCAATAAAAGATATATCTAGTTTTCGTTCCTCAATACTATGGGGTACCGAAAATATTTTCACTTTTATACATTTTTTTTGTTTTACTTTTTTCTTTGATATGGGATAAAAATAGAAATAAAAATATTTTTATATCATTTTTCATATATCACTTTTGCACAATATTCAATACTTATAGCCAATTAGTTTATTTTTTCATGAAATTTTTTTTAATTAAAAAATATGTTTTAAAACTTTTATAATAATTAGATAAGCTTTTCTAAAGTATTTTTAAAAACATATTTAATTTACAAAAAAAATATTTAGCATTTTTCTTATAAATTATGAAGAATAACTTCTGGAAAAACTCTACAAATTAATAATTATATCATGGAAATAACTTTTTAATGCAAAATTTATTCAAATGCCTCCTTAAATTAGCTTGAAAATAGAGTAAATCCTGTATAAGGGATCTTTTACATAAACTAATAAAAATAAGAACAAATGTTGTAAAATGAATATGTTACACAAGTTTTTGGGAGTGTTTATTGTTGTTTTGCATCAATATATCAGGTTCCACGCTTCACTTTGGCATCACGAACTATCGAGCTAGAGCAATTGTTCTATTAGGCCTTATGTTTAATGCAATTGTTTGAGTCCCACCTCAATCTCTTCGTGAATAACCGGTCACGGTTATTCCACAAAATATGCAGAATATCTTCTGAAAAGTATACGCAATAGTAGATGATTCTCCTTTAATTCAACCATAATTATAAGGTTTTTTTCACCCTCGTACTCCTATTTAACCTAATTGTCTTTTATACATTAATTTTATAAGTAAAAATGTTTATCCTTTTAAATGACATAACTTATATTCTTTCATTCTCACAAAGAGGTGGGACTCACACCTTTATTTTTGTTGTCAACTCTCTCTCCTCCTTTATCTATCTCATTCTCTTTCTTAAAATGACACAACTTTACATCCTTTAAAATGACACACACTTTATCCAATTTTATATTGAGAAAGTTCAAAACCCCCGGTTTTGCCTTTTACACCCTTATGCTATTTTTTTAATCATTTATTTCCTTATGTTTTTTTTTTCATTTAAACTCATTCTTAATATGGTTAGAAATTAAATTAATCTATCTAATTTATCGTTCTTAAAATAAAAAAATAGATTCAAAAATAAATAAATAAAAAGACAAAATATGTTGAAAACTTATAATACTTAGAGAAAAGACAAAAAGTAAAATAAAACCTGTCTAAATAAAAAAAAAGAAAATAGACTAAGGATAAAAACGGAGAATAAAAAAATAAAACTAAATATATTGAAAACTTTTAACAGTAAAAGAAAATACTAAAAGTAAAAAAAATATTGAAAATAGTCTAAATAAAATAAAATTTTAGAAAAAATAAGAACAAATATATTGGAAATTACAACACTAATTTTTTTTTTCTTTTTTGTCTTATCTTTTTTTATTTCTTTTAACAATGATATAACAAACTAAAAGTGGAAAAAAATAAAATTAGAAGAAACAAAAACCCAACATATCTAAATCAAAAAGAAAAAATATACTAGAGACAAAAAAAATATTAGTGATTTTTTTTTCTTCTATTTATTTTTTATTTTTTATTTTTTATTTTTTATTTTTTTTCTCTTCACTCTATTTTCTGCTTTTTGATTTAGTCGATTTTTTTTACTTTTAGTCTTTTCTGTCACAATTGTAAGTTTCCAACATATTTTATTTTATTTTTCTTCTATTTTTTTTCCTTAATCTATTTTTTTTGGTTTAAACATATTTAATCTTTTTTTCCTATTATTATTATTACCTTTTACTTTTAGTCTTTTCTGTAAGTGTTATAGGTTTCCAACATTTTTTGTCTTATTTTTTTCTTTGTTTATCATCAGTCTATTCATTTCTTCTAAAAATGATAAAATAGGTAGATTAGTTAATTTTGTAATAGAGATAAGGATTGATTTGGATGGAAAAAATCGTAAGGGATAAATGGTTAAAAAAAACATAGGGGTGTATATAATACAAAGCAAAACCATAAGGTTTTTGAAATTTCACCATATTGAAAAACCCATAGAAATGGATTCACATTGTTCATGTATTCACACTGAACAATTATTACTCTCATATCTCTATTGTTACTCATATTTAAATTAATAGTATGAAAAAATTAAATAAAAATTAATTGAATAGGAGTGACATATATATCTGAATGGCATGAGGGGTTCCCTCCCTCACCAGCAGGGATTTTCAAACTTTTAGCAAAAAGTAACCAAGATTATTGCAATGTGAGAGCGATGAACTCTGGGAACATGATGAAGAAAGGTTCTATAATGCTATCCCCTCAAAGGCCAATAAAAACCCACCAAAAGACATTGAAGGGCTATGATTGCGGAGTAGAAGGTTCCTTGGTCCATCCACTATACAGAAACTAGTGTAAAGGGGAAAAAAATAAAGAAACATAAAGATATGAAAGGAACATCTCACAAAGACTTTGTTCTTTCCCCTCCGAGCAAGCAATACTCTATTAGATATGATGGGGAGTGTGGACGTGGTATTAATTTTTCTTTCTTGTTTATGTATTTGTGGGTCCATGGCCTTCACAGATTGTAAGAGGAAGGCAACATTGCTTTGCTTCATTATTCTCCATATCGAATTTTGCATTGCCATGGGTAAATTATTCCTCCAGATGGCATGCAATGAGTTAGATCGAGAATTAAGTTCATTATTTAAATAAAGAACTGAAAATAAGTTATTCTAAAAAAATTGTGTAACTTTTTTTACGAAAGATTTGAATTACTTTTTTGAGATA